GCAAGTGGCTTTACGTCTCTGAGCCTCAGTTTCCCTCATATGTAAAATGAGATTCAGAATCCTTTCACATAACTTTGCCATGAGGACCCAAGGAGAAGATACAGGTACTAGGCGTAGCATGGTGCTTGGTGCACAGTAGGTCTTCAACACAGGTCCACTCCCTTTCCCACCTCCCTTTTCCTTCCTCCATTCCCAGCAGCCTCTGCCACTGAGCCCCAGCTGGCCTCCTGTCAGCCCCCACCAAGCTGTGACGCAGACCAAAGTTTTTCTTTTGAGTAAATGACAGGTTCAAGGAGGCGGAACAGAACAAGTACTTAGAATTCGCAGTGCAGGATTCTCTGAAATCAGAGTCCCAGTGTTCCATTCGTAGGGTCGGGGAATTAAGGTGGCTGTCCTGGGCTTGTCTCTGAATGGTTTCCCGCAAGGGAAGTTGTCTTTCCTACACTCTTATTTTACCTTCTGTCCTGGGGCTAAGAAGGGATTGGTTGGGGAAGCCTTCCTCGCCTGCTAAAGCCCTCTGCTGATCAGCCCCACTCCAGGGCGAGTCTGTGGGATGCAGGGGGTGGGGCTGGAGCGTGTTCTGTTTAGTAACGATTGGAATGCTGTGAATTATGTAATAGGAATATTAATTCTCTTGCCGAAAACACAGGGCTGCAAGGGGCCGTTGGTGTGCAGCCTGGTCCCGCTGTCCTCCCCCTCACCTCCCAGTTACAGCTGAAGAAACCGAAACCTGGGGAAGGACGTGACTTATTCGCAGTCCCACATGGAGGAAGGGAATGGCAGAGGTGGGCCCGGCCCAACACACGAGGAAGGCTCGCTTTAGTGCCACCAGCCGCCTCCCTGTTTGGCCCCCCTTCGGGTGCACGCTGACCGTGGTGCCGAGGTAGTGTTCACCGCCACATCTCAGGTTTTCAAAAACCAGACCTGGGAAAGCATTCCAAGCGACTTCCTCCCACACTGAGCTTCTCTGGCTGATGTGGGCAAAGGAGGGGAGGAAGCTGGGTGGGCAGAGGGTGGGCAGAGGGTGGGCGCCCTCCCAGCTCCCCCACACCCCAGGCTCACCTGGTCTTGTCTCCACCATAGCTGGGCTCACCTTGCTTTGTGAATGTGCAAACAGGGACCTCTCCCTGCGGAGAGTGAGCTCCTGGCACACAGGGACCATGTCCTACTTCTCCCCAAACCTCCATCTCCAGGCCTTGCACCTACATGCTCAGTGGCCTTTGCCGAGTGATCAAAAGCACAGACCCATCGCCATCTCCCAGGTGCAAACTCCTTCCCTTACCCACACAGAGCTCCGACAGCCTCTGGTTTGCAATCCCCAATCTGTCGCTTTACCAGCTGTGCCATCGTGGACGTGATTTTGAAGACGGGTGAACGTGAGAGCATGTTTCTCATGGAGCTGAAGACACGAGGATGGCACAGGGAGAGGTGAGGTGTTACAGCCCACAGCAGGGGCGTGGCTGGTTTCCTTCTCCTCCCTCTGCCCAGGGAGAGCCTCGGTCCAAGGCGGCACGTTTGGGGTTGTAGAGGGGCAAGACCTTCTCCCCCCACCTGCACCTGCCATCCCCACCCACGTCCCGTCTCCTTTCCCACAAGGGCACACTCTGCTTGTCCAGTGTTTATTAAGGACCATCTAGAAAGCTGTACATCGTATCAACCACACAGACACGGGCCGTGTCCTGACCTCGAGAGCTGACAGTCCGAGTGAGCAGGCTGCCCGCCCACTGCCAACATTTGGGGCAGGGCAACTCTATCGTGGGGCTGTCCTGACCACTGGAGGGTGCTAGCAATATCCCTGGCCCCTATTCGCAGATGATAGTAGCAAGATACAGCCCACCCCCTCCAGTTTTGACAATCATAAATGTTTCCAGACGTTGCCCAGTGTCCCCTGGGGACAAAACTGATGCTCTTACAGGAGCCACACAGAACTCAGACATATGGTGTCCCCAAAGAGCTAATGGTCCATGGGGTGCGTCTCCTTTCTGACCTGGTCACCCCTCTCTAAGGGACATAGGCACTCAGAATTCACACCCCAGAGTACCCAGAAGGGCCCCGGCCGAGAGGGCACACGCTTCTTTCTTGGGTTTTTATTCCCCACCTCACACCCCTCCTTACTTAACCTTGAAGACTGACTCAGAGTTGACATGCAGGGCAAGGGCCCCAGGAAGGCGCTGTCTGGGGAGGGAAAGGATGGCTTTGGTTGGGGGAAGAGGCACGCCTCCGGCTGGAAATACAGAAAATATAAATATACATGGTCAAGGACACGGCTTAGAAACAAACCCACTTTAATTGAGAGTGTGCACAGAGATCTGGGGCAGCGCGGGCGTGACCAGGTGAGACCAGGCCACACACCTGTCCTGGCCAAGGCACCTGGTCTGTTTAGAGGGTTCAGGCAAGGGCCAGGCGGGAGCACGGAAGCAGGGTCAGAACTGCTGCTGTGAGCAGCAGGGGCCAGGGTGGAGGTGTAGGGTGTGCAGAGCTGAGGCCAGGGTGGGGGTGTATCTGTGTGTTCATGTCTGTATACATTATATACATGGGCACAATGTACACAGAATCTACAGGAGCCCTCAGAGACAAGTCCAGGAAGAGAGTAGGGAAAAGATGCCTCAAATCCCTAAAAGGGCCAAAGCAGCATGAGGAGAGGGGGCATGTCATGGCGTGTGCTGAATACCCAGACCTAGCCCTGCTTCTGCCACTCATAGACTTGCTGTGTGATCTGGGGCAAGTTACTTACCCTCTCTGAGCCTTAGAAAGATTCACTAGATGATCGCTAAGGTTCCTTGTGGCCCTAAACGTCAATATTTTTCAGATTAAAATATAAAATTTATTTGTTAAGAGCTGATGACAAGAGCCTTTGGTCTACAGGTTCAAATCCCCCCAGGCCTAGCACCCAGCAGAGCCCAGTTCCAGGCATGAGGAACAGACACACAGGGATCCTTCCCACCTACCTCTCTCGGGCTCAGCTCCGGCTCCCAGCTGCTCCTCCACACCTGCCAACAGCTGCAGAAGGCAGTGGGGCAGCAGGGGTGGGCAAAGGCCAGGCGGGTGAAGGGAAACAGGCCAGGGATGGGGAAGGCCCTGGCGCTGCGGGCATAAAGTGCATCACTCACCCTCTTTGTTTCCTAGCACACAGTGGACCCAGCACCCAGCAGGCGCTCAACAAATGCTTGAGGAACAATCATAGTCATGGACAGCCTGGCTCTCGGTAGAACTCTGTCCGGAACTAGCTGGGGGCCAGGGCGGGGCACGTCACCTTCTCCTCTGAGTCTCAGCCACCTCCTCTGTGGAATGGGGGTAGAAGTAGCCCGGTGGCCTGGTCCGCCTGTGTGAGTGTAAACTGTACAGCTCAGTACGGAGGACGGCGTCCAGCTGCAGACAGGCCACAGCAGCCCCACATGGGCGCAGGGGAGGAAGGGGTCCCCCACGGAAGCAGCGGGTCTGAACTGGGTGTGGGCCCGGCCAACAAGGGGTCACTAGGCTTTTACAGTACAAGGATTTTCATTTCTACCGCTATACACAACATGAGAACAGATGTAACAACAAAGCAGGACCAGCAGACGGGGGAGCCTGGGAGAAGAGGCTGAGGAAGGAAGGGGGTCCTGGCTGGGCGTGGGCCAGGGGACATGGCCATACCCTCTTCACACACACAGAGGCCCCTGGCTCAACGTCAGGGACAGTGGGGGCCAACTTGAGGGGCAGGGGTACAAACAGCTGAGCCAGAGGGTAAGAGTTTCAGGATTGGGAGTGTACTAGGGGCGGGGGGAGTCTCCCAGCTGCCACCTAAACCAAGCTGGGTCTCACGCCAGAGCCTCCCCCGTAGGCTCTGGGTGCTGTTTTCATTCTGGGACTGTTCCAGGAAGCTCCAACTTGGGTCCCTGCGTAAGTCCCGAGGTCTCCCAACCTTGTCGCCTGCTCTGCGGAGATCCATCCCCGCACAGAAGAGCTGGAACCACGGGGAACCATGGAAAAGAGGAATCAGAGGGAAGTGGCGAGAAGGCAGAAGGTACAGAGGTTAGAAGCCAGGGTCCTCCAGCCTGGCACCAAAGGTCTTCACACGCGACTGCCACTGGGGTCCCACTGCGGGGATGCGGGCATCTGGAGCCACCTCCCATAAGGCACTGCCAGAGCCCCACCCCAGCATCCTTCCTGCTCACTGGATGGTGCATTTGTCCCGTTCTCGGGCTTGGCCCTCCCGAAGGACCTTGGCCTTGATGTACTTGAGGTCACTGTTGACGCTGGGGCGACGGGCGAAGGGCGAGACCATGCCGTAGGCGTCCGTCTCCTTGACGCGCCGCATGCAGAAGGGCCTGGGGTGGAAGGCGTCGCCGTACTGCACGGAGATCTTGCGGTGCAGGGCGGGGCTCATCTCGTGGGGCAGCTTGGCCATGCTGAAGAGCATGTAGAACATCTCGTCCACGTTGGTGTTCTTCTTGGCCGACACCTCGAAGTAGGCGCAGTTCTCGTCGCCCGACACCAGCAGCTCGGCCTCGGTAGCGGGCACCTGGCGGCAGAGCTCGCCGTGGTCGTTCTTGTTGCCGCAGATGACCATGGGCAGCTCCGCCACCTCCTTGGTCTTGTTCTTCAGGCAGGACTTCACCTCCAGGATCTGCTTCTGGAGGCGCTTCACCTCGTCGAAGGACTCCCGGTTATCCAGGCTGAACACCAGGATGAAGACGTCGCCTGCGGGAAGAGAAAGCCCAGGCGGTGAGTGGGCGGGCGGGCAGCTCCTGACCAGGCCCTCCCCACAAGGTCCCGCAGCTCCTCCGTGGCACAGCCTGGTTCAGACACAGTTCATTCCCCCTACATTTCCCTGCAGGGCTAGGGACCGGGCGAGGGACTTGTGAGCTTGTAAACACAGTGTCAGAATAATAGTAATAGGCACCTGATGCATGGTAGGAACGCAGTATTGGCAGCAGGTAGACCTAGGTGAACATCTTGCCTCCTCCACTTACTAGCCACTTGGTCTAAACCTCGGGGTCCCCATCTGTCCCGTGCAGATGAAACACCGCCATGCCGGATGATCTTCAGGGTCACAGGAGATAATGACTGGAGAGTGACACGTGCTCAGTGGTCTTAGGTGTCAGTAATGATAATGAGAACCAGCACCTGTGAGAGCCTGCATGGGCCATGCACTTCAAGCACATTTTCCCCCTGACTCCTCACAAAACCTCAGTGAGATTTCATTACCTTCATGGTAGAGGTGAGCAAACAGGCTCAGAAAGGGTGAGCAGCCTACCCCAGGTCACACAGCTCCAATGTGGCCAGGCCGAGCGTTGGGCCTACGCCTGTCTGTCCTCACCCAGCCAGAGCCCAGCACACTAAGTGCTCTCCGCTTCTTGAACAAATCAAGGCCCACACTATTCCTAGTTTAACTCACTGCATCACACGAGACACCTTTGAATCTGAAACAGGGACAATGTGGAGGGGGTAGGGGTGGCAAGGAGGGTGAGAGAGGGCTGGGCTGGTGACTTCATTCCTGTCTCCAGGTCTTATTACAAAGATCACAATCTCACGCTCAAAGCACCTTCCTAGGTTGGCTTAAACTCTTAAGAACCTGCGGTGAGATGTCAAGAGCCCTGTTTTACAGACGAGGTAACTGAGGCTCGGAGGCATCGGCAACTGGCCCAAGTTCTCGAGAAGAGACTCAAGCAATTCTGGCTCTGGCCACATGCTGCCCGTTCCTCTGGACCCCAGAGCATGCCCCTTGTCCCCCCATAACAGCACGTGCCACATTCAGAACTGTGTTCCATCTGGTGGTGTGCTCTGCAGTGAGCTCTGGAGCAGAGGGGGACTTCGTCACCCACTCCTGCGCATAGTGGGTGTTCATACAGCTGGCTGAATGGATGGGATGGGATGGACTGAATGCTGGGGTGGGCTGTTTTAAAAGGTACTTGCAAGGCAGCGCGACCCAGCCTGGCCGCTGATTCCGCTTGGGCTGCCAAACCCATCCCGTTAGGCTAATCCTGGGCCCCTGAGGACTCCGCTGCCTTGACATATTCAAATGCAAGACTGCGTGTGATGCCAAGCTTCAGAGATGCCCGGCTGGCAGCTGGAAGGAAAGCTGCTGGCGGAATTAATGGTTTTCAGGGTGTCCTGCGCATCAGCACCAGGTTGGAAAATGAGGCACGGGGCTGGCGAAAACGCAAGCAGCAGGCAGATGTGCTTGGAATGATATATGCACATAAAAAAGAAACAGACAAAAATACTCTCTGTTATGGGGATTCAAATATGAATGTCAATGTATTCATGGAGGTGGCCCGAAAGAGTCCACACCAGAGTGACGGGGTGGCCACCTCCTGAGACGCGGCAGGAGCCTGGGGGTGGGGACATGGGTCAAGGGGGCTTTTTCGCCTTGTCCATATGCTTTGTTTTTTTTAATTGGGGGAATTGGGGGGATGGGAACAGCGCTGGGGAATTGGGGAAGGGGAACAGACAAGTTGCTGTCCTTTTGTTCTTCAGTCNGGGGCCCTCTGGCGTCCCAAGCCAGTTCTTAACCATCGCGCCACTCGGCCGGCCCCCTGTCCATATGTTTTAAAGAGGGTGTGTCTGTGTATTCTTTGTGTATTTAAAAATTAGTTTTGGAAATACGCACGTGGTCTCTCTCTCTCTCTCTCTCTCCCTCTCTCTCTCTCTCTCTCTTTCTCTTTCTCTCTCTGCATCTCCCCTATTCCTCCTTCTGACGTTAGCCTTATTTACATCAGTGGCGCCCAGGCCCCTCCCCGACGCAGGGAGAGCTGGCATTCCTGCAATCGTCACCATGTGCTAGAAGTGCCCCCACACGCTTTCCTCCAGTCCTCGAAGCCACACTGAGGGGAAGCAAAGTTATGCCTGCTGTGGGGCTGGGGAGATTGAGGTTCAGACCTCTGGTTACATGTTTAAGCCACCCCAGTGGTGGAGCCAGGACTTGAACTCAGGTTAACCCAGGGCTCCTTCTAGCCACACACTTATTCTCCAAAATACAGTGGCGTGGGGTGTGTGTCCGAGTGTGATCTGAGTCAGATGCTCAGTGAGGGACAGAGGACGCTGTCTGCCCAGGGCGCTCAAGGAAGGGTCCTCGCTGGGGTGTGGCGGGAGGGCTGGGCATGGCATTAGTTTCTTGGTGCAGAACTATCTGATGTGGGCGTTATTTTAGCGATGGCTGGAGGGTTACCTGCTTGTTCCTGCCCTCCATCACTGCCCAGCAATGGGAGGGGCATGGCTTGGGGAAGGACTCTGCAGAGCCCGTAGCAGGCACACTATAAATGCTGCTTTAATTTAAGGCCAATATTTATTGAGCACCTACTATCTGCTCACCTAGGACTTTTCATGTATTAACTCATTTAATTCTTGCAGTGACCTTTTGGATGGATGCAATGTCATGTCAACAGACAGATGAGAAAACTGAGGCAAAAGAAATGAAGTCCATGCCTCATACAAAACCCGGAAGCAGGGGAACCAGGATTCGGATCCAAGCACACTGGTGTCTGGCCTGCCCTCTTAGCTACCATATGAAATTGCTTGAGTCATGTAATGATGGCCCAGTCGCACATCTCCACCTGCCTCCTTAATCCCCAACAATCTCTCTCTCCCTCCTCACCACCCCCAGCAGGGCCGAGAGGCTATCATATAGGATAGCTTAGTGGTAACGCATGAGACAGGCTGCCATTTACCAGCTGTGTTTCTACCGGGAGTAACTTAACCTCTCTGGGCCTCAGTTTCCCCACCTGTAAAATGGAGGCAAATACCTATGTCCTAGGTTACTTGTGAGGATTAAATAAACACATGCCAAGCTCTAAGAGTGGGCCCAGGCATGCAGCTCTTGATAAGTGTTAGCTGCCGCCATCACCATTGCTGTGATTATTACATGATCATGAGTAGGACCCCTGCCTGCCATCTGGCTGACCCCTGCCTGGGACCTGCCCTTACCACTCTGAGACAAGGCCAAGGCCTGGGGTGTCAAGAGACCTGAGCTCAGCAGACTGACCATGGGACCCAGAGCTCTGCTAGGTCACTTCCCATAGATGGAAGGCAGCAGCCCCTCGGTTTTCCAGAGAGGAACACCCCAGTGCCCATCTGTATCAGTACCTGACCTAGAAGGCGGCACCAACAGCCATAAGCAATCAATCCAGAGTCATATAGAATGGAATCCGGGCCCCGGCTCCCTCATTTGCTTGTGCAAGCAGCAACACCTCTCCTACCCTCACGGTGCAAGGGAGCTTGTTGCGAGCTGTATCTCAGATGATGGATGTACAAGCACTTTGCAAACTGTAAAGTACCAAGCACACATGCCCACATATGCGGCGCCCACGCCCACCCCAGGCACTCACCTGTGAGGATGGAGAGCCTGCGCATGGCGGGGAAGGGGTGGTTGCCAGACGTGTCCAGGATGTCCAGCTGGTACATGTCGCCACGGATGTTGTAGACCTTCCTGTGGAAGTCCTCGATGGTGGGCGTGTACTGGTCTTCAAAGCGGCCATTGAGGAAGCGAGAGACGATGGAGCTCTTGCCCACCCTCGAGGCGCCCAGCACCACCATGCGGTACGAGTTCTTGGCGGGCACGCTGAACGTGCAGTTCCCGCTGGACAAGGTCTTCATCATGGCTCGGGGCTGCGACAGAGAACAGGGAGCAGTTTCAGAAGGCCGGGGACCCGGCCCTGTGCAGCCCCTGCTGGAGGCCTTGGCCTTCCCTTTGTGGCTCCTGACTAGGTCTGTTTCCTGTCCATAAAATGGGAACGTTGGACGAGGGTTTCTCTAAGGGGCTTTGGAGTTCTGCCCGCTCGTTCATTCACGCCCTCTCTGGTTGCCTGCCTCCTTCATTCATCCACTCAGTCACTCATCCATTCATCCTTGTGTTTATTCGCCCCCGTATTTATTCCAGCACAGGACTGCCGGGGCTTCACTGGTCACTTTACCAATCACTCGCTGTTCCTCCTGAGCAAGTAGCCTCACTTCCCTGGGAGTCACTTTCCTCACCTATAAAATGGGCTCAACTCACAGGGCTGTGGTGAAGGGCTCAGCACATGGCGAGATCTCAAAGATGTTAACTCTTGTTACAATCCGTTCTCTACCTGATCCACCCGTCCTTTCCAACTCTGGCTTCCCAAGGAGGCTGTGACTCCCGGACATGACATGGGCGTGGCACTAGAGAGCATTTTATAAGCATAGGGGTGCCGTGGCCTTTCAGCCCTCCCAGGAAGAAGCGGGATGCCATGTCCAGACCACAACCTCCATGCCAGGGCCTGGATCTGCTCAGCGATTTTCATCCCCCAGGCTCTGGGAGTTTGCTCACCACCAGGAGACCCAGAGACTTGAACTAGGGGATGTGGGTCAGAGAAATGACCCACGAGCAACTCAAGTCCCTCAAGCTCCAAAGGTTTATGGATCTGGGGCATACCCAGAACTCTCTACGGGAGCTTCCTGGCCTTGTGGAAGAGGCAAAAATGGATCCAAGTTCTAAATCCCAAGTGGACATAAGTAAGCCTCCAGCGGCTCCATCAGGCCCACCTCAAAGGCGATACCACCCTCCTTTCCTATCTTAGCACCCACCAGAATCCCCCCAGACTCCCTGGGCCCCAGCCATTCCAATTAGCTTGAGCTCTGCTGAAATCTACCTCTACTCCTTAAGCTCGGGCTGGTCTCCACCCCAAAACACCCACTTCCTTTTGTGATTTAGGGTCTGGCTCAAATGCCACCTCTTCTCTGAAGGCTTCTCTGACCCCACCCCAGAAGGAATCCCTCCCCTCTCTAGAGGAGATGAACTACAAATGGACACAGGCCTGCTGAAATGTGGGTCAGGCTGCCCCACATGGTTGTGCAGGTTGGGCACTGCACAAAGCACCCAGCTTAGGTGGAAAAACAGGGGCGGTCTTTGTGGGGTTCACCTGCTCCAAGAAGGCACCTGTTTTCAATCTGCACAAAGGGTTGTATGTGTAAGCTACAACTGGTCCCACCCCTGGATACCCCAGGTCAGTAGCCCAGAGTGCCTCATCCATTTGCCCCAAGGTTCTCTCCAACGTCATAATGTTCTATCTGCCATGATGCCAAGCGACTCGAGGTGGAGACAGCGCCTGCGTGCGAATCTCCTGGCACATGTCATGTTCAGGGCACTCAGGCATCGCATCTGCTCACCTGCCCAACTGTGAGCCGCTGCGCAGTAAACTGGCTCTCAAAAATACCTTTTTAAAAATCTCTTATTGGTAGCGTTTGCCAATTGCCATGACATACACACTGCCATGACCGATTCCATGCTACAGAGATGATCTCAATGAATGAATTGCAAAGAAACATAGACAACAAACCCTCTGAGCACACCACTGACCCAGGCCTGGTGCCACGACACAATCACCATTAACCAAGCCCCCGCCATATGCCAAGTACTGTGCTAAGTATAGAATAATAGTAATAGCTGACATTTATTTTGCAGTTAATACAGGTCAGTGTTCTAAGTGCTGAATATGTAATAACCCACTTCATCCCTCAGTAATCCCAGAAGTAGGTGGAGTTATCTCAATTTACAGATGAAGATACTGAAGCGCAGAGAAGTTTAGTAACTAGCTCATGATTACAGCCAGTAACCAGTAAAGGAGGGATCTGCTACCATGCAGCGTGCCCCGTGCGCTGTGGAGTCCCCTCACCGCCTCCCTGTGCGGTACATACGATCTTCCCCGTTTCACAAATAAGGACCCTGATGCTTAAAAGATACGTGACTGGCTCATTTAGTTAATAAGGGAGCCAGGACAGTGACTCCAAACCTAAGAACCCCACATCACTACCCAATTCATGCCTGAAGCCATCTTTCAATTTATCCCTCAGGGCTTCAGTGCCATGTGCACAGCAGGTGCCCAATAAGTGATCCATGAATGAATGGAGCAAATGGCTCTGTGCCTTTGGAGCCAACGCAAAGCCTCCTTCTGGGGCTTTCTCCTTCCACCCCCACCCGGCCTGGCTGGTCCAAGGGCTGTGATGAGGAGGGTCTCAGGGCCCTGGGCACATTTGTGGGTGGGCAGGGGGGAGGGGGGTATGCAAGACAAACAGCAGTGAACCCTTCTCAGTCTCCTTGGGGTCTGGGTGAGCCAGCCTGGGCCTTCAGCAGCGATTGGGGGGAAAGAGGCCCCACTCAAGGACAGCCCCACTCCCCAAGCCCCTCTGCAGGGAGCTTGCTGGTGGTCACCTCTGTTTAGACAGAGAGAGAGAGAGGCTAGTGGCACCCCAGGGGCAGCGTTTGTCTACATTACCGCCTGCCCCAGCCTCTAGCCCAGAGCCCCTGATCCATATGTGCTAATATCAGTGACAGAATGGGCTATGGAAGCGAGAGAGAAGGGACAGGTAGTCAGAGAGGAGGCAGGTAGTCAGAGAGAGGGGACAGGTAGTCAGAGGGAGGGGACAGGGAGTCAGAGAGGAGAGACAGGTAGTCAGAGAGGAGAGAAAGGTAGTCAGAGAGGAAGCAGGTAGTCAGAGAAAGGGGACAGGTAGTCAGAGAGGAGAGACAGGTAGTCAGAGAGAGGGGACAGGGAGTCAGAAAAAGGCAAAGGAGGAAAAAACATCGGTGGCTTTCTTCTCTGAGAGAAGACTGAATCTTCACATGGCCTCAGCCACGTGGGGTTGTGTGAGGCACCCAGACACCTGGAGGCCAGGTGACAGCGTCTCCGGGGGCTCCGCCTCCCACCCCCGCATCGTTCATCCCTTCTCTTCCCCGAGGAGGCACTGTGGGCAGCGCTGTGGACACAGCTACTCTTCTCCACTCTGCTCTTCTCTACCTTCAGCCAGGCTGACCCTACACAGTGAGGAGCAGACAGGGGGCAGAGTTCAAAGAGCCCTTTTAGAGTTTGCAGTCCTACCATGGAGGCCCAGAGAGTGGTGAATAGGGTCCACTAGAAGCAGCAGTGCCCGAATGCAAGTTCTGTGACTCTCAGCGGACCCCCCCCCCGAGGGCCATTCTAAGGGCACCTGGGAGGCAGAAAGGCCTGGGGCAGAGATGGGGTGGGCCATCCTGGGGGAACAGTAACCAGCCGGGCAGGCTTCCATCATGCTGGACGCTTTGCATGCTTTATTCCAATGACATCACAACAGCCCCAAGAAGAGGGGACCACCATCGGCCCGCTGGACGGATGGGGACACTGGAGGGCAGAGAGGCTGACTCACTTGTTCTGGTTCACACAGATGACTGGCCGGGCCAGGATTAGAATCAGGCCATTGGCTCCAAAGCCTGGGCTCTTACCTCTATGAAGACCCGTCCCCCAGGCAAAAACTAGTCTTTCAAAAACTGTCTGACTCAGTAAAGACTCAGCTGGAGTCAGGCAAGGGGAATGAACCCTGAGGCCTATTACATTCTCATTCTCTCTTTCTCCCTACAGGCAGCTGGGAGCGGGTCCCTGCCCAGGACTCCCTCCAAACCCTGCTCAGCAGCTCCCAGCAAATGCGTGTGTGGGCTCACCCCCTTCTCCCTGGAGCCCCTCCCCCAGAGTCTGCCTGGAAGATGGAGGGGTCAGCTGAGCAAAGACAGCAGGACAAGAGTCTGGACGTGTCCTCCTCCCTGAAGCACCCTAGAGCTTGTGTCCTCTCCCTCCCTCCCACACACCTCAAGCCTCCTCCATTAGGGCACAGCCCAGCCTCTCTGGACACGAGGATGCACTGGCGTCATGCCCACGCTGAGGCGAGTCCTGGGGGCTTTGCAAAGCCAACCTCACCACCCTTAATGGCTCAGGATGGAAGAAAGCAGGCAGGCATCAGCTGCCGGCGGCTCAGCTCTGCCTCCCACCAGCTCAGCAACCTTGGCCAAATGGCCTGGCCTGGCGAGGTCGGTCATCCCTCCAAGGGATATATGGTAGAAACAAAGCCAGAGTTCAGTGAGAAGCCAAGAGGCTGATTGATACAGCTCCTGGCACGCCGCAAGCGGGCTCCTTGCTTTGTGGAGCTTCCTCTTAGTAGTAAGGGAGGCCGCCAGGAGAGCAGCCAGGTGGGGTGGAACTGGCGTGCAGGCAGAGATCTTGGGGGACCCCAGTCTGTCTCTCTGAAGACTGAATCATGGGCTCTTGGACTGGCTGGCCTTCCCAGCCCAGCCTCCTACCTCCCGTGAGGTCCTGGACAACATCCTTCCTCATCCTCCCAGGGGTGGCGGCAAAGGGAGGGGAGGTCAGAGACAGCCCCTCAGAGGTGCTGGGGGGCCCTCTGGTCAGCTAAGTACAGGACACCCATCCTAGTCAGGGAATCGCCCAGGAAACTCACTTCTTGCACCAACTCAAAAAGAGCTCAAGGAACTCTGCACAGAGAAGATGGTCCTTAATCTTCCCTCCTCAGAGGAGGTCCTCACCAGGGCTGGGGGCAGGGGGCACCAACTGGCCCAATCCCAGCCCCACCTCCCTCCAAGTATGCAAGTGGCAACTGAGTTGGGAAGGGGGGATGAGATGTTTGAGGACGTGCTTCTATCTCTCTGAGCCTCAGTTCCCTCATATTTAAATGAGCTATTATTCCAGATCTCTTAAGTGGAAGCGCCTGGCACCAAATCTAGCAGAGTAAGTAGAAGCTGGATAAGTCTTTCTTACCTGGGATAAGTAAAGGGGCTAGCACCCAGCCTGACACATAGTAGGTGCTCAACTAATTTTCCTCTA